GAAGCCATATTGCTATATCTACATATCTGACCACAGTCTCCTTTTTGGACATTCAGTTCTTGACAATGAGATTTTCCGCACAGTTCAACTCCTTAGTATTACCTGGAAATCAATAAAAGTGACTTCCCAGAGCTTCGAAACATTGTTTGCGGAGCTGGCTAGCAGGAGTTCATTGTATCTCTGCAAGCTGCTCACATGGTCACAGTGGTAGGAGTAACTTGACGGTGCATATATTCTGGTTGCATTGAATGTGGCTTGTACAGAGTGGTTGTAAAGAAGTTGCATTCTGTGTAAACTGAACCAGTTTTGAACAGACAGTTGGTTATAACTGGTTGTTAATAAGAATCTGAAAATATTGTATAGGAAGAAAGATGAATTAAAAACAGGTCTAAGAGCTGGAACTGATAAATTTATATGTTGAACAATCTTAGAAGACTCACTAAAATTATCAAAGATGTACTCATATTACTGAAAACTCTAGCGTTTTTTTTCTGCCTTTAAGAGAGCCTGGAAAGCGCTTTGGAGTTATCTGATGGACACTGCCATTCTCCCCGCAGTGAGGGAGCCACAGGAATTGTTACTACTGTGAATGTTGAGCAGCGGAGCTGCACTGTGAGGACACTACTGGTCTGCGGCTGCCCAGACACCTGGCTACAGAGCAGAAAATCTTTTTCTTTTCTCCTGAACAGCTGAGGAAAATACATATGCAATGCTGGCATTACACTTGCGTAAAGATATGTTTTTTTTTCAAAATTCAGCTTGCACGTTACACACATTTGAAACACATACATGTGTTATTACTTGAGAAGCAATGCTGTTTCCTTGCATCACTGAGAAGCAAATGAAGTAGGTCACAGTCTGATGCCTGAGCAGCTCACACCATCAGTTCTTTCAGCAGAATTCCCAGATAAAAATTTAGTAAATTAGCAAGATTTAGTGAAATCCTCAAGCAGGGGAAAATTCTATTTAACAGAGATGACCTGATCCTTTCTCATGAGTAGGACAGCCAACAAAGAAAAAGAAATGCCTTAAAATAAGTAGACAAAAAGACAGCCCTGTTAAATACATGCCTCTTCTGTGGCTCGATTCTATAATCAACGATTTTATTTTTGCGCATACAAAGTCTCTTGAATCAAATTTCACAGGCAACTGCACAACAATGCATTCAAAAGATACTAACATTTGATTACCTAATAACTTCTTTATCATATAAACTTACCTAATAACAAGTCCCTTTAGATTGTCAATGTCACCAAACTTCAGAGAAAGCCTAGGTGAAAAAGAAAATGATGTTAAACTGGATAAAAACTTGAGAAATAATAAGAGAAAAAACGGCAGAGAACATTAAGCACAGTTATGCATAAACCTTTTCCTCAGTATACCTTTGAAATCAGTAGAAAAAAATTAAAAGGATTAAATCTTACTCCATCAAAATCCAATAGTTTAGTTGTTAATTTGAATAAGGCCCAGACTGTACAGTAGAGAACTGCACACTTAACTTTCCACACAAACTTAATTCCTGCT